GATGAGAAACTTCTTCCCTCAGCCAGAACACTGGGATGTGAATGGGTCTTCCAGCATGACAATAACCCAAAACATACCACCAAGGCAACAAAGGAGTGGCTCAAGAAGAAGCACAAGGAACCCTTGAGGATTTAGAGAAGGATTCTGTAAAGAGGAGTGGACCAAAATCTCTTAACAAGTGTTTCTCCACCAAGTACTAAGTCATGTTTTGCTTGGGGATCAAATACTCATTTTACTCACTGAACTACAGCTCAGTTTATAACATTTGTATTGTGTGTTTTTTCTGGATTTTTGGTTGATATGCTGTCTCTATCATTTAAAATACACCTATGATAAAAAATTATAGACCCTTCATTTCTTTGTAAGTGGGAAAACCTACAAAATCTGCAGGGGATCAAATAATTATTTTCCCCACTGTACATATTTTTTTAACCCCTTCACGCCTAAGGGTAAAACAAATCTAAATGCCTAAGCACAATTTTGCAACGTTGACATATGTTAGTAAAACTGTACATATCATCACAACTACTTTGTACATCCAGGTGAATTATACCGTGTTTTGTTCAGGACAAATTGGGCTTTCATTTGGTGGTGAATGGTAATGGATATCTCCTGATTTTATTTTATTATCAAAGGAAAACTGGCCCAAAATAGCAAAAAAAAATAAATGTTTTTTTAATTTAGCTGTGTGTTTCTTCTTACTACCATAACCTACCACCAAAGAACAACCCTAATATAAATTCTCCAGCTCTTGACGATTGCAGCGATACCATATATGTGTATGTTATTTGTTGTTTGTACCTGTAGTACAGTCCAGAAACAACAGTGCAGATTTTGTTTTTGTCTTTTTTTTTTATTTTTTTAATATTTATTTATTTATTTATTTTTCAAACTTTTTTTTTTCTCTCTATGCCAGGAGAGAGAGATAAATGTATATCTCTTCTCCATTCATAGAGAGAGAAAAATATTAGGGGGCCAATCAGAGGCTATCACAGTGATCATGTGACCCAGAATCAGTAGTCCTGGGTTCCGATTGTTAGAACGGGACCCAGGGCTCTCAGTGATACCGCGGTCTTTGTGCTGGGAGCGTGCAGTGCATGGTATGCAAATATGCGACCCCACGGAAAAAAGCCTAGTTCCATGAGGCCGCATATTTGTGCGACGTCGGCGTGAAGGGGTTAAAGAAGTAACAATACATCCTTGAAGTAACAATACAAACAGGTAGCTCAAGACTGATAAAATTGAAAAAAGCAGCTCTTGCTGAAATACTCACCTCCACCCCAGCATTGTCCAGGATCTGTACTCTGGGTGGAATGACACTCGGTGAAGAAGAGATCGCACAACTGGCCAAAAGACTGTGGTTCTATAATTGCATCTTTCAAGAGTTGTGATCTAGTCCGTGATATTCTTTTTGATGGGTAATAAGTGAGTATAAGACTGGGAGGTAGGTCTTATCCATTTCTCTGACCTCAATCCATTACAGGATACAGTAAGGATGTAGAGGTCAGCAGGATTAAACAGTGAGAGTTGAATATTAACACTGATGTATAAAAAAAATTCACTACACATAGCCTACCAAGTAATAGCAAAGGTATATATATATATATATATATATATATATATATATATACACACACACACACACACATATGTAGTGCTACCCTTGTGAGGGCCGCTGTAGAATGATGGTCCCTTTAGGTTGCCCTGACCTTGCAAGCCTCCTGACACTGCTGACACCCTGGGTTCAGACATAATGCACAAGTAGTCACAATTTCAAAGACACCAAATTGCTGTAAACAACTGAGTATTTACTAATGGTTCTTTAGTTACAGACAGTTAAAGTACTTCATAAAGCAGTAACCAGCAGTAGTGAACACAACAAGTCAACAGTATTTCAAATATAATAAAGGAGAACCTTTGACCTCATGTATGAAAGGGAGGAGAAAGACCTTTCTTCAGTGTCAAATGGCTCCATTAGAATCCTGATGACCCAGGCACAAAATTATCAACACTCTTTGGGAGAGCTAGATATGTAATATATGCTACACACGGTTTCTAAATAGAGTTCCCCTTTAATATAAGCACCAAGGTGAGGCACAGAGTCCTTGGCTTGAAGAGTAGTGAAAGGGAGTCTTGAAGGGACAAGTGTCTTGAATGTCCTGCTAGCGCAATAGAGCCCAATGGGATTGCAGTGCAATAGCGACCAGCGATCCCTGATAATGCAGGTGAATGGCTCCAGTAAAGGTGTCAGAGTTACAGTCAGACGTATAATAAAGATGTCTGCATGCAGTGTCCATAGTGAAAAGTGTACACAGTGTGGGCTTCAGCCCGCTCACCAGTCCTGATGACACTGCGGCTCAAGGGATTCAGGATGTCCTGGAAGGGCTTCTGCAGAATCGGCCTCCACCTTAGGGGCATCAGGCCTAGTCTCATGCGACACTGGGACTCTGCTCTGACTGTTGCAGTGATGCTGCTAACCAACTCTGGACAGTCACTCTGCCGACAGGAAGCTGGGATGGGTGATCTGTTTGTGAGCATCTAACACCCTCACAGGAGATCCTGCACAACATCCAGACCGCACGGTCTGCTTAACTGTCTTGTCTAGTGGCCAGGTCCCTCTTCTTAGCTTCAGCCCGTGGTTCCAAGAGAAAGCACTTCCTCTGAGGTCTGATTTATATATCCCCTCCCAGCATTCTACTTCCTCTTTCAGCCGGTTGGAACTTATAGTTCACAACTGTATTAGTCCCTCTGAAAATCCTTCCTTCCAAACTACATGTCCCACAATCCTCGGCTCTTTTGTTGTGCCCTCCTCTCGCTGTGTGTCTCCAAACCATATATGTCAATATCACAGTTAAACACAAGAGGGAGCACTAGCTCAGCATAGTTCTTATTAAGTGTTCTTTCATGGCCACTTACTGTTCTCTCACATATATATTCTTATTATTATAGCCAAATGTACCACCCTAACTCCTCCCACAGTTTTTACACTACATAGACAGTAATATACAGAAACGTGCGGATTGTTCCCGATTGGTGTGCTATTAGTTTGTGAAACGTTTTGCCAAATGGTTCACGAAATATCGGCGTTTTTGTGGTGAAATTGGTCCCATAGGAATGAATGGTGGAATATTCAAAACTAGAGTGGGAGCTGACAAAAGCTAGAGTGTGAGCTGAAAAATCAGGACATGATTTCTAAACTGCCATCACTCCCTCATTTTCAAGCCCACCTACACAAATCTTATATCAAAACGTTCAGCTATCCCTGCTGCCACTAAAAATGTCCACGGCTAAGCCATAATCCTGATAGTTTTGACAATATGGCCATTTGTTTGCAAGTCACGCCGCCCATTGACATTCATTGAAACTCCACTCTAGCCATCTCAAATTTGAAGGGCAATTTCTAAACTGCGACCACTCCAGTTGTAGACTACTGGTGGAGGCAAGAACACTTCACACAATTTCCCCAGAAATTGTAGCTTTTCTAGTTATGAATGTCTTGCAATGGCACAGGTAAGTTAGCCAGCATTGGGCTACACATACAAACATGTAGTGCACCTGTGGTGGTTAGGTTGGCTATACAGCAAAGGGAAAGCCTTCTCTTGTCTTGACACCCATACCATGGAAATACACCCATGGGATCTCTTGGGCCGCTTTCCTTCTTCACTTTACGCATCTCTACATGCTTCACTTCAATTTCTATGGTAAAGGACCTCAGCAGTCCACAAACTCTTCACCATTCACCTGTGCCTCTCTCATTAGACCGCAAACCACCCATATTTCTCTATATATACAGTATGTGTGGGCCTCTACCAGTTTGCTCCTACCTAACGTAGTTCCAATCACCTCTGCACTCTAGACTTCTCAGTAGCCAGTATGATTCCCCCATCCCTCTAAAATATTCACATTACCTTCACCACAGGTTTCTTTTATGGTGTGTAGGAGTGAAAATGTCCCAACAAATTCTGTCAATGGTTAACCACTTGCTTTCCGTCCTATAGCAGAAGCACTGCTACAGGGTGTCACGTCTGTGCAAAATCACGTATATATATACATGATTTGCCTTTCCAGGTAGGGGGGTGTGCGCGCCGCCTTACACGCGCCGATATTGGCGGCTGGAGATGTCAGTCACTGGGTCCCGGACAGCGATTCTTGGATGGCACTCGGTGATTGTCGGCAAAGCTGACAGGAGAGAGACTTGTGTGTAAACAACACAGGTCTTTCTCCTGTCAGCATGGACAACATGCTGCTTTGTATCTCGCTGCACAGCAGAGAGAAACAAAGCAGTATGGCTCCTAAGTAAAACAGCACACAATCTAAAACACACACTGCACACAGTTAACCCTTTTATCACCCCAAATGTTAACCCCTTCCTGTCCAGCATCATTAGTACAGTATCTTTTTAATGCTTTTAATTAACACTGATCACTGTATTAGTGTCACTGGTGATCTCAGTGGCAGTTAATCAGTATCCACCCAGTGTTCAGAATGTTGTGAGTGAAAATTGCAGTAGATAAGCAGTTTTGGAAATACTCAGACCAGCTTGTCTGGCACCAACAACCATGCCATGTTCAAAGTAACATAAATCCCCTTTCTTCCCTATTCTGATGCTTGGTTTTAACAGCTAGCCTACAGGGCACTTATACCCCCTTCCTGCCCAGGCCAATTTCCAGCTTTCAGCGCTGTCACACTTTGAATGACAATTGCGAAGTCATGCAACACTGAAATTTTTATCATTTTTTTGTGACAGATAGACCTTTATTTTGGTGGTATTTAATCACCTCTGGGTTTTTATTTTTTCTTAAACAAACCAAAAATCACTGAACATTTTGAAAAAAACACGTTTTTTTTTAGTTTTTGTTATAAATTTTGTACATAAGTGATTTTTCTCCTTCACTGATATGCGTTAATGAGGCTGCAGTGATGGGCACTGATAGGCTGCACTGATGGACACTGATAGGTGGCACTGATGGGCACTGATGAGGAGGCACTGGTAGGTGGCACTGATGGGCATTGACAGGCATCACTGATGGGCACTGAAAGGCAGCACTGATCCATGGCACTGATAGGCAGCACTGATAGGCGGCACTGACTAGCACTGATAGGCGGCACGGACTGGCACTGATAGGCGGCACTGACAGGCACTGATAGGCGACACTGATGCGCACTGATAGGCGGCACTAACTGGCACTGATAGGCGCCACTGACTGGCACTGATAGGTGGAACTGATTGACAGCACTGATACGTGGCACTGATTGGCATTGATAGGTGGCACTGACTGGCACTGATGGGTGACATTCAAAGGCAGCTCAGATGGGCACTGATATGTGGCATTGATGTGCACTGGTAGGCACTGATATGTGGCGATGATGTGGCACTGATGGGCACTGGCATGAGGCACTGATGAGCACTAACAAGGGCACTGATGAACACTGACAGGTGGTGCTGCTGGGGCTACACTGATCATCAGGGCACACTGATCATCAGTGCCCCGATGATCAGTGTACATGTCCCCTCCGCGGAAAGCCGATTACCGGCTCTCCTCTCCTCTCGAGCTGTCAGCGTGACAGCTCGAGAGGAGAGAAATGTCGATAACCGGCATTTCCCTGTTTACATGTAATCAGTTGTGATTGGACACAGCTGATCACATGACCGAGCCGACATCTTTGGCTCTTTTCGTGATCGGTGATCTGCTGTGTCCCTGCCGATCGCCGCACTGCGCGCTCCCCGAGCCGCACATGCGCGGTGAGAATGGGAGGATGTCATATGACGTCCTCCCAGAACGAGAGAACCACCTTGCATCCGTCATATTACTATACAGCTGGCGGGAGGTGGTTGAGGGCAGCAAGTCATCTTCACAACGTCTAGATATCTAAATGCATTGAGCTGCTGCCATGTGATTGGTTGATTAGCAATTTGTGTTACCAAGCAATTGAACAGGTGTACCTAATAGAATGGCCGGTGAGTGTATGTTAAATGCACACATAATCTTATGAGAAGATTGTTGTGAAAATGAATAGTCTATCAACAGGATTTCTTAAAAACATTGTGCACATCAAGACAATAAGTACTACACATTCATGCAGATAGGTGGAGGAAGGTTTATTACATCACTTGTGGATTTGTGAAAGTGATTTGCGATTGTCGTTTTGCATAATGATTTACTTATCTTTGTTGGCATATTGGCAACCATTTAATAGGCTTTCAAGACTTACATGGATCTGCAAGGAACATACACACAAAAAACCCCAAAAAGCCTAAAATCATAAACACTTATTGGGCCTGGCCTACAGTTAAACAAAGAGTCCCCGTTCTGTCCATTTAATCTGCAAATTTATTTTTTTAACCGACACAGAACTGGAAACACAGCTGTAACCAATGACTTGCAGATCCAGTTCATCGGCCAGCTGGATTCTGTTCTGCTGAAACAGCAAGATTTTCTACATTGTTCCCTTTTGTACATCTGGAGAAATCGTTTGAGTTCAAAGGTGACAAGAAAAGCTCTTTAAATAAACCCAACGAACGGTGAAGATGCCCAGGCAACCAGCAAATCCACATCAGGGGGATGCTTATTAAAATAAAGCCTCCATTGAGAGGCACTCTTTTTGTGTATTTATAAATGTATCCAACTCAAGTTCTTTTTTTTTCTTTTATCACCAAAGAACCATCTGAAGCTTTTCTCCTGTCAGCTAGCTATGTTAAAGAAGGAGTCCGCTAAGCATCAAAACTGGCCAGAAATTCCACTGAAATAGTGAACATTTGTAAAGCTCTACTGTACTATGACTGAGTTCAATTTTTCCTTCTACAATTACGGCATAGTAATAAAACAAGGAACATGTACCGCCCAATGTCTTTTCAACTGTCCCAGGAACCCCAAAACCAAGGGGCCTGCCCATTCCACTTTGCTCTGTCGGTACAGGTCTGTTTTTTCTGGGTACACATATATGCAGCTTCTCGGCATTAAAGCCTACCCGCTGAGAGGTCACATATATGTGTGCAACCGGCGGGACAGAGTTAAAGTATATGTGATCCCATACCATCTACTCAGTTTAAAATAGAAATGCAAGGCAAAACGTTTGAGTTCGTGTATAAAAAAATTATAAAAAATATTTTTTCTCTTTTTTTAGTAAATGATCATATAATCTCTGTTCTCAGCTACATAAGGGGTTCAGAGTAGTGGGGATGGAGAAGCAGCAGTACACCGATCATCCCAATGAATGGCTGTTCAGGATAGTTGTGTCCAGCAGAGGTCTGATCATTGAAGGGCAGGCAGACTGTGGTCCTAGCACAGCCAGAAAACTGACTCATTAATACCTAGTGTGGTCATTTTTAAATAGGAAAGGAGGGAGACTGACAGGATCACCAACTATTTCACACAAAGGAAGCAATACAAAGAGAACTGGATACTTTTTAACACAAGTACATGGTACCAGTGGTGTATTTAGGTTTTGTGCTGCCATAGGCAACACAAAAAGTAGACAACATCCCCCCCACGGAGAGAGCCTGATATTGACCAACAACAACCCTGTCCACTCTCCAGATAGTCTTCCACTAACACACCCCCCCGCCGACCAGAGAGAAAAAGACAAAAAGACACTCACCTTTACAGCTTTGGACATCCCTGGGAACAAGAGTCAAGCTCTGCATTACCATCAAGCAGCCCACAGCCTCTCTCAGGTCCCACCTGGTCCCCATTCCACAAGTGTCCCTTCTTCCCCCCTGAAAAATGCTGCCCTAGGCAAATGCCTTGTTTGCCTTGTGGTAAATACTCCCCTACATGGTACAACATACACATAACAGGAATATGAAATGTTGGGGTAACATATTCTTTGCGCAGTCATGCAATTCTGTACCACTCAAATGAAACATATTTTTTCCACAAATTGAGCTTTCTTTCGGTGGTATTTGATCTCCTATGCGTGTTTTATTTTTTGTACTATAAGCAAAAAAAGACCAACAATTTTGAGAAAAAAACAATATTTTGGGCTTTTTTCTATTAAACATTTCCAGTAAAAAAATTAAATTTCATCATAAATTTAGGCCAAAATGCATTCTGCGACATGTCTTTGCTAAAAAAAACTCCCAATATGTGTAAATGAATTGGTTTACATGAAAGCTATAGCATTTACAAATGGCGGTATAGATAGTGGGATTTTTTCTACTAGTAATGGCGATGATCAGCGACTTTTAGCGTGACTGCGGCGGACATTCTGACACTGGGGAGGGGACCTAACTTAGTATCACTGACATTTCCAGTGACACCAATAACAGTGATCAGTGCTAAAAAAAAAAAAGCACTGACACTGTACTAATGGCACTGGGCAGGAAGGGGATAATGTGAGGGGCGATCAAAGGGTTAACTGTGTGCTGTGTGTGTTTTTACTAGGGGAACGTGGCTGTTCTTCACTGTAAGTACACTGATCAGGATGGCTGTACTGTGCACAGCCATCCCGAGCAGTGTGCTCGAGCTGACAGGGAGGAAGATTGTTTGCAAACAAAACAATCTTCCATCCCATTGGAGATGCTCGGTAATCACCGAGCGCTGGCGGGTAATTACCGGCCGGGACCCTGTGAACAATATCTGTAGCCAGAAATGACAGCGTGGGTAAGGCACGCACGGGTCGCGCGTGCTGCCTCCCCGAAGTGCAAAATCATGTATATATATATGTGATTTTGCGCATAGGTGCCACCCTGTAGCAGTATATCTGCTATAGGGCGGTCCTTAAGAGGTTAATAAGTAAAGGGAGAATGATGTCATTGTATCGGGAATGATTTTGTAAGAACCAACTTTATTTTCAAACTCTACTGTACGTCAAATGAGTTTTCGCAATTGCCATCTAATAACTGCTAGAGAGATATGACATAAGGGAAGGATCAATTAAGAGCTTAGAACAGAAGGAAAGGCAAGGTTCACTTTAAAAGCTAGCTTGAAATGCCCCTTATTTTTCACAAACAAACATCTGCCAATATGTCAAAAAGTGTTGTTTCTGCTATATGGCAGCCCAGTCATACATTTCTCTGGGTTACTTGGACTACAGTGTACTGTACATAATTGTCAGACTCAGAAGCAAGTCAAGCACAGCAAGCCTTTAAGTGTTTTGGGGGGAAAATGTCTTTTGAGATGCAAATCAGTGTTTGAAATGTAATTAGTATGCCTTCATACTGTATACTAGGAAGGTTAAAGAACAGAATTGATGCGTGGGATGCGCAACAATAAAAGTAAACCGATCCATACAATCCAGTTCAAAAGTCAAATACTGCTGCTTTCTCACTTCACAAACTCATGTCTGAAATAAAAAACAACGCTACAGACACTAAACCTTACAGATTTTTGTGGTCATACCATTTCTTTCACGTGGTAGTAAACACCTCTTGCTTACTTGTACCTTATAATAAAGTTTACCTGTAGGTACAAGCAATATCTCCTAAACATGCACCATTTAAGAGCTGTTTACTGCAGTCGGTGACATCTCCAGCGCATACGCATTGTGCTCTGAAGGAACGCACCCCATCCCTTCAAAACTCTGTGCTTTATCACTGACTCCAGTGAGCATGCGCATGCACTGGAGTGATATCCTGCGTCTCGACCATTCAAACGGCCAGAACCCGCAAACTTGAAAGCAAGGCCATCTTAACCTCCCTAGCGGTCTGATTATGTCAGTATTTCTGTGCTCAAAGCAGTAAATTTTTTTTCATGAAAATATGTAGTTTTTTTCCTGTAGGCCTGTAATTTTTAGGAATAACTCACTGAAATCTGTCCTAATTTACTATTGCTGTTCTCTAGCTGGTCTAAAACCGATTTTGATCTAAAGGGACACTTTTTGGACGCCATGGATGTTTCTCAGTTTACAGGCAGAAAGAACAGTAAAAATGCAGGCAGGGCACAGGACAAAGCAGTAAGGACAAAATGTATGTGAAATGCTTTGATACAGTAATGTTTTACTATGTGATTTTAGTGTATTTAATGAATGCTACTTTTTGACATTTTTAAATTTCCTGTCAGTTCCATCCCCCGTACGTCCCGACATGGCAGGGAATGGAACCCAGAAGACAGATGCCGGAATCGGCCGGAGGACATTGCTGGGGACACTGCAGGGGGAACATTGCGGGAGCGAAGGACAAGGTAAGTGCAGAAGGGATCCCAGAGCAACGGGGTTACCGCTTGTGGTGCTGAAACTTTACCCTGAGCTACACTCGGGAATACCTCCAGGGAGGTTAATAGCATCATGGGCCCCCTCGGACAAAGTAATAAACTGGGGCCCATACCAGCCTGTCCCAATTTACACACCTAATTATTTAAAGTATAAATAATTGATAGAATTAAACATATATTTAATAGTACTTTCAATAAAATTGATTTTAAACAATGAGAAAGTATGCCATAAATCAAAGGCTAATCAACACAAAGAGCATAGTACAGGGGGATTCAGGAGGGTACAATACTGGGATCAGGAGGGCACTGCACAGGTTCTGAGATGCTGCCCAGGCCAAATTAGCTGGATGTTTGCACCAAAAGCACTCTCTGAGTGCTCTCTCAAGTCTCTGACCCATCTGCTGAGGTTGTACCCTCCGCCATATTGTGCCGAACTCCATGCTAGACGCCTCCACAAGACATTCCCCGCAGTTGAGCATTATATCCTTAAGGAAGGTATGCTCACCCATAAATAGGGTTGCTACACTTTACTGGTGGTACTTGGAAAATTGCACGTCGGTTACATCACATTGACATACCATCCAGGGTCGCTTGACAGTACATAGTCCATCACATTTAGTGGATGGTCTGCAGTAGTCACATGTGTAACCATCATGGAGCATTTTAAAGCAGCATCTTTTCTCCAAGAGTCTCTCCCTCCACTTGGGGTCATTAACACTCAATGAAATGGGATCTCTGCAGTCACCTCCTCTGTAGGTACACCTCTCCTGGGATACTCCAGGGGAATAGCCTCACTCAGGGAACTATTGGCCAGGCCTAAAAGGCCTTTTGCAATCCTCCCTAGTCCCCATCTCCATAAGGGTCAGGGAGTCCACGGCAGGCTCTCTAAGGTGCAGGCCTACCTCCCCCAGGCCTCCAGCCCTGTCCAGGGCTCCAATGTGCCTGTGACATCTGCACACAGAACGTTTTTTTACCTTCATGCAAAGAATGCATGAAGTTAAAAAAACTTGAGCCTTTACAACAACTTTAAGTGCTATGTAAATTTTAACTCTTTTTTCTAAGTAGGAAATTTTTAAAAATTGCTGTCAAATTTTTGCCAACTGTACTCCACTGAGGATATTTCTCTTTAATTCGTGTCCTATACCTTGTAAATACAACTGTAACTGAGTGGAAATCACTTAAATAGGGAGAAATGCTCTCTTAGCGAGGCATCCCTATTACAAGATTTGCCCCCTAGTCCTGTTCTGCTTTGGGTTTTTACTTTCAGTCTTGGATCATTGTCACCAGGAAAAATCAAAAGCATGAATCTAACTAATAATGGGGACAAGCTGTACTAAAAACCTGAACGAGTTCCTAACCCCTCACCACTCTATCCAAAGCTCTTTAATAGTTAATTATAGTGATTGGGTTAGGTTTTAGGGTTCAGGTTTGAGTGTTAGGGTCAGATAACAGGTTAGGGTAAAGTGTACCTTGTGACCTAACTGTGGCCCTGTTAGAGGGATTTCCACTCACTCCCTGTACTTGTGACCACTATCTCAGCTAATCACCAACTGGCCCTTCTGTACTACCTCACCTTGCATCCATGTTGGAAAACCCTAAATATGATTTACTTAGCCAGCGCAAAATTGACAACTTTAGCAAACCAGAGACACAATCCAAATATGTTCTTTACTATTAAACTTACAGTATAGTAGCAATACATCCAGAAGATGAAACAATAGTGCTTTACCTTCTTTTGCTGTCAGGATGTTAGCATTACTTGGCAATGGCAGAACATCATGATTTGTGCACCTATAAATTAAAAAGAAATAAAGTCAGTAAATACAAGCAGGGGAAATGAAGAGATAAAGAAACACACAGAAACATATAGATAACAACCTGGATGAGTGACAGCAGAAAAAAGATCAACTAATCCATCAAGTTTGTCCTAGTGTGTTCTCCCTCTCCCCCTCTCTCCCCTCTCTCTCTCTCTCTATATATATATATATATATATATATATATATATATATTTGTAGCACTACTCCCTTAGGGGCTGCTGAATTTGAATTGGGTCCCCCTATGCTCTGCATGGCCAGGCAACATGCACCTTCACACTCTGCACAATGGAGTCAGCAAACAGTCCTTGAGCTTGATTTTGTGATCTTATTGAGGGGTTAAACTTGGATATGGTCTAGGAGTATATAGGATACCCGAGGAACTGTAGGACTTGAGGACAACTCATTAGCAACAGTCTCTTGTTAAAGAGCACTAAATTGTACCACCTCAGACCCCAGATGATTCCTTTTCTTCATCCAACTGCCTGAGGGTGTCTCTGAGAAAGGGGGTCCAAGAGCTGCCAATTGAACAGTCCCAGATGAGAAGCTAGTTGGGTATTGCACCTGACCGCTCTCTCCCCTTATCTGGCCCAAGGGGTGTAAGAGTACTCACACTGTCCTTTCCTGTTAGCTTAGTGGGTTGGTGGCTGCCTACAGGACTTACGTTGGGCTGGCTCCTTCCCTGCTATAAAGGTTGTCCTCTCAGGAGCCATTGGCAGTGGAGACTCTCTTCTCCAGCGACCTGCTCTCTTCTCCAGCGACCTGCCTGTAGGTAGGCTCTGCTCCATGGGGCCCCCTCCCAGGCTCCACAATCCAGCATTCCTCAATCCATCTTCCACCCGACACTGCACACTGCCCCCCCAGGCTCTGCCACATTTGAGGGTTGCCCTGGTTACCTTTGTACAGTAGCATTGTCAGTCTGGGTGGAGGGGAATGTTAGATGCACTAGCAGATTTAGATACGCTAAAACATTGGGGCCACAATCTAGCTAACACTTTAGAAGCAGTTACAGTAAACAGTTTTTCCCTTTTTGGATATAGATTTTACATAGATAAAGAGAACTGATAATTGTAAGCACTCCTGTTGGTATTGAATGGTTTGTCTCATCTCTGTAAATGATACATTTTGCAAAAGAGTGTTCTCTTTTGAAAAGCAATAGACTTACTGGCTGGTTCTCCAGAAGAAAATAGAAAAAAGAAAGCCTAAAAAGAAAAACAAATGCAGCCATCACATCTAAGAAATAGTAAACTGCAATATAATAAATGTTTGCTTTTGGGTTTGATAATGCTTTTTGGTTTAATAGACACTCCAAGTTCCTGAAGTCTCTCTTGATATATTTTTTCCCCTCAATAAATAAGGAAACCAAAGATGTTTGACCTTGGTTCCTGGTTTGTGAATCTCACTCTTTTCTCTTACTTCTTCATATGGATCTTTTCCCTTTTAAATGCCTCATTCATTAATCAATGTCGATTCACGTTAAGAAATGTCCTATTTTTTGTTTTCCCAAAAAAATATATATTTCCATAAGACTAGTTGGCCTGACTCCAGTTGAGAGGTATCTGTTTTAGGACATCTTTTCAACATGACACATTCCCAGCTTGTCAGGAGCAGTAAGTACATTAATACATGTCTCTAGACTACACTTGTTTTAGTTTGATATACTGTAGATTGGGAACATACCTTCTCTTTTTTGCTGTTTGTGACCCCTCTATTTGTTTTGGTGGTCATTGTCTCAGTTTATCAAACCAGAATATGAGGAGAAACTTCCCATTGGGTACATCTATTTTGGTGACAACTATCAAAGGCTGGCCATAAAAGAGTCAATTTTATTTTCGTTCAACCAGTAGGTTGAGAAAGATAATGACTTGATTCCTTCTTCCACACATTTGATGTGGATGGGGGGATCCCTCCTGCTGAGATATTCTATTCTAACAATGGGGAGACTTCCCGTCGTCAGAATACACTAATCAGCGCCACCAGCCATAAACGGTGGCGCTGATTGCGAGAAAAATTTCCAGCAGACTGATTAATAATTTGTATACAATCAGCCTACCCATACGTGGGTCAAAATTTGTCCCTGCTGAACCAGATTTTTGATCCATGTATGGCCAAATTAAGAGGGAATTTTCCCTCACTTTGGAGAGATCGTCACTCTCTTTCTCATGTGTTTCTAGAACATGAAGTAAAGGTAAATTTCAACAGGATACAGACAGTGAAATAAAAGACAATGGTTTCCACCATTCTCTACTCCATCAAAATAAATAAACATTTTAATTGATAGTCAGTTGATATTTTGGTTATAGATACATTTTAAGTTGGCAGAGTAGGTGTAAATTCTGATGTTGATAACTTGATAACTAGTGTTAAAGTTGAACGTTATAAAAACAGCTTGGTTTACCACTGAAATACATAAAAGGGAGTTGTTTTACCTATCACTGAAATTGTATTTCTGCCCATCTGTTCCTAACCTTTACACAGTTCTGCCAGGGTGAACAACCAGCAGGGTGACCTAACTATTCTTTGCTGCAGTAAGGCCCCATTCATACCTTAGTGTTCCGAGAGCGAGAATGCGAGCATTCCCAGAAACATGCAAAAATGTGCCAAAATGCTCATTAAACTTGTGGTGCCATTAATTTTTTGTGGAACCCCAAACATGGGTAACAGTCACGCAAAAACGTGGCAGAATCCACAAGGAAGTGAATGGGCTGCCTATGCTGTTGCGTGACAAACGCACAAAAAAACATATTTTAAAAAAACCAATGCTTGACATGCTCAGGCATGAATGGGATCCTAAAGGAACACAACCTGTAACTGGATAGTGAAGCAGTAATAAACTAACAAAAACATGCGCCTTTGCTTTCATCCTGAGCGGGTTAAATGTGTCTAGACCTTTTTACCAGGCTTTCTGAGTGCTGCCCCCCTGCTGTATGCCACATAAATACAAAGTGAGGGAGGACTCTGGGCTCTGGCTTTCTTCCACATGGCACTTCAGAGGAAGGACTGTTGAAACATGTAAGCCTTACTGGAAAACATGCCCCCCTTCTAGGTCACCCTGCTGGGATTCTCCCTGGGCTAGGAACTTACCATCATTTTACTTTTGCTGAATGAACTTTGCTTCTTTGGCAGGTGTGAAACC